AAAGTACATGTAAACTTACATCGACTTGGAAACTCTGCCATCTGTAATCCCACTGTTGTTGAGCCACTGCACGCCGCGCCGCTTCAACACAATCAGATGAGGAAAATTTCCGTGTGTCCCACAATTTTATGGACTGATCTTTGGAGTTGGAAATCAGATGATAGTTATCTTTCTGTCAAAGAAAATAATAACAGTTTACATATGAGCCTAGCAAAGTGCAACTACATGTAACTCTTCCACTAGCGAATGATGAGCAATATTACAAAGTTAACTTACTTTGGAATCTATGTACGTAATGCCATCGCTATGACCAGCTAATTTTCCCACGGGTTCTGGTGATGCCTCACTCAATGTCCGCCTGTCCCAAACTTTCACCATACCATCATCACCTCCTGAGTAGATTATCTGAGATGTCCTGTCTGCAAATGCCACAGCATTCACATCATCTTCGTGGGTTTCAATCTGTGAGAAAAATTCCACTCATTGAAACTTATCAACAGATTTTCCTGAATTTTACTATACGGCCTTATTTCATGGTGTTGTTTACAGAATCCAATTAAAAAAGTATGGTCACTGATTTACTTTTTGCATAAAAAGTGTGTCAAACATCCACGAAAATGGAGATTTGGGGTCATGTACATGTACCATTGGTTCCTACATGTAAGGTCAAAATGTTTTACCCACAACTCAAAATGTTGTTCACTGAATAAAGTGTGAAATAATCAAGACAGATACCTGTTGAAAAATTCTGATGAATACTATTTATATTACTTTAACATGAATTCCGATAGAATTTTTGCATGTTTCCTGGCAGTTTTCCTCTCACTGAACAAAAAAGACAAAGACCCATCTATAAATCAACATCAATGTATCACTTTGTGGTAATTTTTCCACTCTGTTTTAATAGGTTGAAAGTTTGTGAATGACATGAATAATTTGTCAATATGTCAAAACAATAAATAACATCAGAACTAGCAAACTGAACAAATTACCAACAAGATGTGAAACTTGGCTTAAACTTCTCTGGTAAATCAAATGGTCAACTTTCCTGAGAAGCATTACAAGCTAACTTACTTTTAATGTTCTTTTGTTTTGTTCTCTGTCAAATATATACATACAACCATCATTAGCTCTGTAAAAAAGACATTACCATTGATTAGTATCCTATACCAACATGTGGTAAAACAGATTCCTTCCTTCATTCTGCGCATGACATTTCCAGCATGAAAATGACGATCAGCCATTTGAATCATATTCTGAAAAAGATGCATGTGCAAATCTGTTGGATGATGTATGTGTACATTTTCAACATGATAGTCCAGCCATTCATGAAAACAAAATAGCCATCAATCAGCCATTTTGAATCAAATTTTTAACAAAGACCCATTATGTCACAAAATGATCTGATAGAGATCCACCCAAGGTTCATATGCAAGTATCAATTCAATCAAACTAGCAAGTCATCAAGAAAAAGTCATTTTTGAACAAAAATATTTGCAAAAATTACAGAATTAAAGATATTGTCTCAAAATGTCCAAATCTGAGATAGGTCCACCTAAGAAACACATACACCAAGTATCAAAGCAATACGAGTAGCGGTTTTCAAGAAGGAATCGAAAATATCATTTTCATAAAAAATTATAAAAAAGATTCGCTAGGATTGACAATATAGTCATGAAATATTGAAATCTAATAGGGGTCCTTCAAAGTTACACATATAAGTTTCAAATCAATTGGAATAGCGGTTTTCAAGAAGAAGTCGAAAATGTCGTTTTCACCAAAAATGACAAAAATAATGACTGATATAAGAGAATTCAAGATATTGTCACAAAATGTTCAAATCTAGCGAATATTTGTTCAATGGACATAGCAAGTTTGAATGAAATACACTGTATATCCATGTTATGACTTGGTTCTGTAATGACAGAAATGATTGATTTTGATGAATTTTTTGCACAAAAACCGACCGCTTTTTTCCCCTTCGCTTGCTCGCTTTTGTTCGTTCGCTCTTGCTATGGTTGGCTTCAGAAACATCGTCCGCTTGCCAACTGACCGCTGGAGTAACGATGATCGTACATTGTATCCACAGGGAGCCCAGGAACTATAATCAACTGTAATACGCAGTCTCTATGAGGGGGGGGGGGGGGGGCTAGTATCTAGTGTAAGAAATAGACAAGGGATGAAGGCTCCAGCCAGCTCACATTTTTTAAACTCGAAAAAACAGACGAAAAATCTAAAAAATAAAATCTAAAAAAATTACCAGGTTGAAGAATATTAGTTGCTCCTTCGAATTTCGCCTAAGCCTTACCTACATTTTACCGATATCTGCAGAATAAATCAAGAAAACTACACAAATTGACTCCATTTAGGAATTCCATTCTGATCTCCATTGATGTCGGCTTTGATAACTTCAGACAAGTAAGATGGGCGCCGGCCGACATTACATTTGCAATTATTGTATTTGTTTGACAAATTGTACAGTCCGGTCATTCTATAACAATGGATTGGTCATTTTTTTCACACTCTTACTATTCCTGCAGATATTCTTCAATATTGTTATAGGTGCATGGATTTACATAACTACAACTTGACCCGCGTTAAACCCAAACCATGCGTGTCATTCTACACACGGTACTCGACAAATACATGTACCATACTCTACAGTAGACATTTTTCGTTCTCCACCAAAAATAGATAGCTTTATTTCATATTAATTGTGTCTGTGTCAGGCTCATATTTGATTTCACATGTTTGGTTCGATCTTGTTTATGGTGGACATTATTACTACGCGTATGTATTATTACAAATTTTATATGGCAGTGTGATCCACCGTATTGTTTCAACGGTCGTTCTATAAATTTCTGATTGTATTTATTCTTCTTTTAACATCATAAAAACAAAAATGATACACTTGTACATAAAACAATAGGTAATGAACTGTGAATGCGGGCGGTTGTGCTGTCAGGCAAGCGAGCGAGCGAGCGGATACTTCCGGATTTGCACGGTCAAAAAAAAAAGCGGAAATTGTCCGGTCGAATTGAACAAAGCGAGCGAAAAAAAAGAGATTGAAATCCGGAAGCGGGCGGGAGGTTGGGCGAAATGAGTACTGTATCTCAACGATAAACACCTTTATATTTGTAGACAGCTTGGGATTGATTATATTGTTTACAATGCTATTACTGATGTGTTATATAAACTTACCCTGCTACTATTTCTTTACTATCACTTGAAAACTGAACTGAGAATGCACAAAACCTGTCCCCCTCAGGCTCTAGATTCAACGCATCATGTACATTATGCTCTCCATGAACATTGCAAATGTGAACTAGCAAAATGAGAAACGACAGATTTCATTTTATTTATTCATGACAAACAATATTGGGTACTAACGTATTTATCCGAGTAAGAGCCAAGAGTCCTGAACATGGAAAATTGCGAAAAAATAGGGGTAGGCGTTTGCTCGGATATCCCCTGCAATTTCGCAAAAATCGACAACATGCAGATCAAACTGCTACAGGGAATAGAATGGTAAATAAAAACATGCATGAGAAATAAATGAACAATATGCAACATTAGAAGTAAAACAAAAATAATGTATTGCTTATAATGTGACAAATAAACCAGAAATAATAAAAATCAACAGTGAAGAATCATTCGAATTTAGGATTTCCCCGCCGACGAACACGCTAAATAGCGTGAACTCAAAATCAACTAAAATTTATCAAAAATATTCATTAAAATAAGATAATTAAAGAACAAAATCATCACGAAATGAACAAATCTGAGAGAGGTCCACAAGTAGTACTTGCATATGTAATATCAAGGCAATTGGACTTTTGGTTTTTAACAAGAAATCGAAAAGATCACTTTTTACCAAAAATGACAAAAATATTCATAAAAATTAGACAATTAAAGATATCATCACGAAATGAACAAATCTGAGAGAGGTCCACATGTAGTACCTAGATATCAAGGCAATTGGACTTTCAGTTTTTAACAAGAAGTCGAAAATATCACTTTTTACCAAAAATGACAAAAATTATTCATGAAAATTAGAGAATTAAAGATATCATCACGAAATGAACAAATCTGAGAGAGGTCCACATGTAGTACTTACATATATAATATCTAAGCAATCGGACTTGAGGTTTTTAACAAGTCTTCGAAAATATAACTTTTTACCAAAGATGACAAAAATATTCATCACAATTAGAGAATTAAAGATATCATCCCAAAATGAACAAATCTGAGAGAGGTCCAAGATGCCTACATACCAAGTATCAAAACATTTGGGCTAGCGGTTTTCAAAAAGAAGTCGAAAATAGCATTTTTGACAACAAATGACAAAAATATTCGCTGTAAATAAGACAATAATATTGAACATATCAACACGAAATGAACAAATCTGAGAGAGAAGCACTCAAGGTACCTTCCGGCTATTGGAATATGTCTCGCTATATGGATATTGGGATGGGCGTGAAATAGGATTTTAGATATAAATAGATAATTTTCACAACAGAAATGCAATAGCTGTGATGAAAGATGGTAAAAAAAATGGAAGTCTTCGGCGTGACATTGCAAAATTGCTGTCCCCAGTTATGGATTCGCAAGCCACTACCAAATATTTTATGAAGCCAAAACAACACACTTTCAACCAGTCTTCCAGGTACAGGTTGCTACAATATTGTAACATTGGTTTCATTGTCGACGACACTAAAGCCGAACGAGTGCAATACTTGCTTTGCGGCTCTCCATATACTGTAAGATCTGCTTGAATCGTTTCTATAAAGAAATACAAATCTAACGGCTCTTTTCAGGGCCGCGACATATTACAGTCAAAGAAAGCTTAGAAAGA